AATTTATGGACCCTCCAGGAAAAATTTTCACTGAGAGTGCTTAATTTGAAGTGATCTTTAAGGTAAGAATAGAAAAAACTAGAAATTCCGAGAACGTCAAACGACACCATCACCTAAATCCTTATTATGTTTATGAATAAACAAAGTATTTATTTATATATTTTGTTTATTTATCTGCCAATATTTTTTTAAACTGGCAACAGCGGAACTGCACCAGCCGCCGCCTGTCATGTTTGTCTAATGTTTTATGGGTCTAATGAACAGATGCTCAGTGATTGACCTTAGTACCTTAGTTTATGGTCTTAAACGCTTTCTAATGGTTATCATGGCTTCAATTGCATTTTAATCATCTTCAAATAAATAACTAGAAACTAATTAACTAATGGACAATCAGTATAAAGACGCATCCATTCAGTGTGACAAGTAAAATCGGTAGCGAATGCCGCCAAAAGTGTATGTTTGACCTGTTCAACTCGTTTCGAATGAATTTCAGCCATTCCTGAGCGATTGTAGCATGGAATTGGACTTTCTGAAGCTTTCCAGAGACAACACAAAGTTGCTGCTATTAATGGACTACGATAGCGGTTACGTGGATGGAGTGGAAAGCTACAGCACCTCACCCAGCAAGTGTAACTTACAACCAATGGAATCAAACGTGCCCGCTCCGACTGTGCAAAATTTCCTACTAAGTGAAGATGCACTTTTGGAGATGCCCGAATTTTGCAACAGCTTAGGTCGGAATTTGCCTTGTGCTCTCAGCATCGAAAACATTGAGGACAAAACCAACCTGTTTCCATCCCCACAGAGAGTGAACTGCTCAGTTGAAAGCCAAAGTAATTCAACTGTGTACAGCGAGTTGGAGGGTCAGACTACCTCAAACGAATCGGAGGAAATTCCCATTGAACCTGCAATTGTAGTGAGGAGAGATTCATTCAATGACTCCGGAGAGGGTGAGGACAGTGATAGGTCTGTGTTTCTGCCACCTCCAGCTGAAAGCTATCCAGTGAGTACGTCCGGCGAATCATCCCAGTCGAGCAAGAGACTCACGTTGATTTTCTCCAAAGCAGACAGAAAGTGCTACTCAGTAAAACGAAAGTACTCGAGCATGACTCCAGATAAAAAACCTCAACCTTTAGATCCGGGCATCAGTCCTGATCTTTTCGAAGATAACACTGAGGAACTACCTAAATACTTAGAGCCTCAAGTGCAAAAGCGGTTGATTGAAGAGCCTCCAACTGAAACCCTTGCTAGCAAACTCGACCAGAAGCTGTTAAAGAGAATAACGAAAGGAATGAGTGGAGTGTTACCACCGCCAAGTGTTACAGTAATTCACTTATCTGTGACCGATATGCTGACGAAATTGAAACAGAATCAGAGCTATCACTTCTGGAATGCCGAAGCTAAACAGGACCAACCTAGCACGTCGCTGGATGCCAGCACTGAGGCCAATAAATCCCTGCTTCTGAGCACTGATTTGGAAACAGCCAGAAGCAATGAATGGCCCAAAATTTTACACGTCAGATGCCATGGTTTGCAGTAAGTTTACCACAACCGGCCTCTTAATAAGCGCTAATATCTTTGTTGATTTTCAGTTACAACTGCGGCAAGACCTCAGAAGACATTGTGGACCTTTGCGATAAGTATCAAAAGCGCCACGTGAGCGCTGAGACTCAATCCACCTGCACAGTGTTTGAAACACAGACGACGAGCAGCCCTTCAAAGAGGAGACTGACGCGCTCCAAATGGGGCGCCAAATCGCCCGGCCGAAGGCTCAGCCACTTGGCAAGACGACGCATCACCTTCTCAAGTGCTAACCTGCAAGCCGGAGGCTCATTAGTTGGATTTAGAGCTAGACAGATCCTGGTGGACGCCAAGTAGGTGACATTCACGTTTATTAGCAGAACTATTCGTTTCGAGGTTCTAATTTATGTGTGCCTTGGCCAAACGCAGCATAGCAACTCTGGTGTGTTCTCTGGTGAGCAGTGGCGCAATAACCTGTCAATTGTGTGTCATTAAGTCTTCTCCTGACTGTTCATGCAGAAATTATTACATTACGACCTTCTGCTAGGGCTCTGATGTTTGGTCTGAGACTCCCTTTACCAATTAATATTCACCTAAAATAAACTAGGCCTTAATATCTACAAGGTTCCTTGTGGCGAACCACTATATGCACAAGATAGATTTTTGTCATTTGCAATTTAACTATTCGATTTTGTTTTTCAGAAAAATGGACCTGCTGAGTCGACGGAAAAGTCCACGGAAAACCCCCAGAAAAACACCCAGCAAGAGCCCCAAATTGAAAACTAGAACGCCATCGAGTTCGGCCAAGAAGAAGTTGGCACTTCGATTCAGAAAACTGACTGGAGAAATTGAAAAGTCGGCAACCAGCACCGGGAAACTCCCTGGTGTACAAAGAACCCTATTCCGCAGCCCTGACAAAACAACGAGAAGCGAATCCAGCCAAGGCAGCTCGGACAGAGCCAAGCGGTCGCTGTTCCAAAGTCCCAATCGTGATAAAAATTCTAGTCTGTTGGTTGTCTCGGGCGGCTCCCATGAAAAACCCCAACTAAGACGCGCCCTGTTTGCCTCGCCCCTGAAAGGGGCGAAATCGCCGTTGAAGTTCAGCTACGAAAGGAAACGGAAGCGAAGCGAGTGTGATGATGGACCGATTTCCAAATTGGCCAGAAGCTTTTCCACGGTCGACAAATCTTCCACTTCCATGGACCAAAAGCCAATCGTGCGCTGCCAAAGCGAGATCAGCATGCCGCTTAATCGGACCCAAAATGGAAACGAGTTGAGCGAAGGTCACAAAAAGGTTAGTGATTTTTGTGAGTCTCCATCCAAACCAACCAATAAAACTAACGTTTTCTTGCCTATTTAGAAGCTGCTTTGGGCCGTAAACGGGGCTCTACAAAGCCAGAATATCACCAACACCCACCCGCAGTGGAAGATATTTGCTTCAGTGTTGATTCGCGTTACGCGTCGCTTTTATAACAGCCAAATGGCCACTTGCGGGCTGGTTGGAGCGAAGTCCGACGTGGGCACAACGGAGCGCATGCAGCGCATTGCCCGCTTCCACGTCATTTCGGTTATTAAAGGAAAATCGGTGGATGAGATCGTCAACGAACATCTGAAAAAAAGGGCCCGGGCGCAGAAACCGCAGGGGTACATTCCGCCGGAGGATTTTAGAGAGCCAAAACCTAAGGTAGCATCCGGTGTGAAGGACCACATACTGCAGGACCGGGCAAATACCATAGAAAGTTGGGAAAAGAACCGGCTAGAGCAAACGACCAAACCCTCAATAACTGCGAATAAAATCCAGCGCATTCGTAAAGTGATCGACTTTGGAGACGACAGATAGACCAATCGTAAGATCTCATCTTAGCGTTATAGGTAATGTCGCGTGTTTGTTAATTAATTTATTTTGTTTGCCGAAAATTATACTTGATTTCCCATTGTGAATAATGTTATTCGTGTTAGCGCCGTTTTCTATATTGACTATCCCGGGCACTGGGAATAGGAGCTACGAACATTGCAATATACATAGTTTGTTGAATAAAAGAACCACGCTTTCATCAGTAGATTTTATTAATCAAACTTCCCTAATAACTGCGTCCGAACAAAGTATAAAACTTGGGCGAGTTTTTGCAATCTGGATGAATGCATCGATCTGAGGACGAGATCGGGGCCGGCTGATCCAGAGGAATACATAACGACTTGGCGCCCATAGAGGGAGCGCCGGGCTCCGCATCTTCATCCCTAAAAAAGGCCACTTGAACCTCCATTAGCACATAGTAGTGGGCAATATTTACCTGGTACTATCTGTTTTGATCTTATCTTCGCAATCGCTCTCGCCGCAAAATGGGGCTAAAATAATTTTTTTCTGGTCCAAAGTTCCAGCAAACTGTGCCCAGTCAGTCAGGGTCACTTGGTTAGCTGACAGATCAGCTAGTGCTCTAGAAGATAAATTATGCAGATTTTCGTGAGCTTAGGGGTTTCATCAGAAAGGGTCAAATACATCGTTAATTTTACATGTCATAATAACCCTAGTATACAGTCTTTTAGTAAAAGTAGTTTTTCAAAGGAAACTACTTGCAGCGAAAACATTTAAACGCCTTTAAAATCTTACGTTGTGAACGTTCCAATAAATTCGACTTACTTATTGAACAAGTTGCTCTGGATGTCCTTCAGCAGTTGCTTCACGTAACCAGTAGCAGCTGATCGCTTTTCGATTATTTTCTCTCCAGTGTCTCTTCGCACTGCTACAAATTGGTTCTTTTCCACATCCACTGGACCGATTTCCATCCTGATTGGAACTCCCTGTAAATTAACTCATTAACATCTGAAAGGCATTGTTCCGCTTTGATAAATTGCCCACCTTCAATTCCCAATGGTTAAACTTCCATCCTGGCGAATAGTTTTGCCTGTAGTCGCCCCTAACTTTGACTCCGGCCTCTTTCAAGTCACTTTCCACACTGTCGCAGTATTCCTGCAACTTTTTCTTGCCATCCTCGGACAAACTGGCCGTTATTCCGCAGGGCACAATCACAACTTGCACGCTTGCAACTTTTGGCGGTAAAACCAGCCCTTTGTTATCTGCATGAACCATTATCATCACACCTGGAACAAGACAAAGGGCTTTTGTCCAGGATTTGGAGATACATTTTTTTATGATCATTACCTACAAGATTTAGGTAAAAAAAATACGATCTACTTGATAAAAATAATTTAAATCGCGGCGCTCAGAATTGTATACGAAAGTATGACCACATTTACCGGGATACCCTGTTTACATACATATGAATCGATTCCCATCAATAGGACTTTAAGGTACGTTATCTTTAAGCGCACTAAATTTTAATGAATTTGAACTGCGCCTATGGTTCGCAAATCCTACTACTGATTCAATGTCGCCACCAAAAATTCAATTTTTACCAATAGTCCTAGTGGTGATTCCCCAGGAGTTCTGAAACACAAACTGTTTCTCCTGCGTTTCCGGATCTTCATACACAATGTCGAACATCTTGGAGAAGTTTTGGCCTAAATGATGAGAAGTGGCGCCTTGAATGCCCCGTCCACTGGCGGATACGAACGCCTCAACTGTAAGCGTATAGTCGCCGCCTGCAAACTTCTCCTTCTCGGTCTTCCTGCCTTTGATGACTGGTATAGCCAGCAGATCCTCGTAGATTTGTCCGTATAAATCTGCAAATCGCTGCTGTTTAACCGCAAAACTTGCTAACAACCAAAAACCACAATGGCTTACCCAAAATGGTTTTCACCTCCACATCAGCCTCTTCTTTGAGAGCGTATGCCGAATGGCCCTCCTGCCACAAGAACTCCCTGGTGCGTAGGAATGGTTGCGGATGTTTGAATTCCCACCTCTAAAAAAATGAGATAAATGACGGCAGATTTACAAACACAGGTTTTTTTTCCATAGTGTCTGCCACATTGGACCATTAATAAAATTAATTAAAAGCTAGCGAGACTGTGGGAGCATAATCAGCGGATTAATGCTCAAATCTAACGACTCTAATTATTCATAAAATAATGTATGTGACGAATTACGTACCACAACGTTGTTCCACTGGTTGAGCTTAATGGGAAGATCGCGATAAGACTGTATCCACTTGGCATAGGCAGGATACATGACCGTTTCGGAGGTTGGGCGCACTGCAATCGGCTCTGCCAAGTCGGAGTCGCCGGATTTAGTCACCCAGGCTACCTGCAAAAGCAACAAGAATCTTCTCTCGTTCCAGTGAAACTGCAAATAGAGCTACCTCTGGAGCAAAGTCCGCAATATGGGTTTTTTCCTTCTCCAGAACGCTTTTCGAAACAAAGATCGGAAAGTAGCAGTTTTGGACGTCCAGCTTTTTTATTTCCGCGTCGAACCAGTCTTTGATCGCCTCCCAGATGGCATAAGACCACGGCCGGAATATATAGCAACCCGATACGTCGTAATACTCGATCATTTCCCCCTTAGTAATGACTTGGGAGTACCAATCGGAAAGCGAATCTTCCTTACGCACCTCCAAACCCAATCTAGTTTGCTTCTTAGGACCGCCTTGAGTTGCCTGCAAAATCAAACTATTCAAAAGAACCGAACTACGGTGGGACAATCAATCACTTACATCAACTGGCGATTTTTCTTTTTGTGCTGGCTTTTGCTTGGCAACTTTCTCCTTGGGCTTATTCTCCTTCGGCTTAGTTGGAGCTTTACCAGGCGCCGGAAAATCTTCTCCAGTTACCGACTTGTACTGGGCTTTCAGCTCCAGTAGAGTTTTGACTGCAGCGTCGATTTCCTCCTAAGAAACACCACAAACAGTGACAATGGGCCCTTTGCAGATTTCACTCAAGCTGCAGAACTCACCTTGCCGGCCTTTTTGGCCTTTAGGTCTCTGACGACGTTCCCTTGCTCATTGACCTTCACTACCAGAACATCTTTGGAAGCATCTCCACTTGCACCGGCCGGAGAATCAGCAGAAACTGAAGGTTTCATACCGGGCTTCCACTCTGTATTTGTTACCGCTTTGAACTCCTCTTTCAACTTTAAGAGCTGCTTAACCTCTGCATCCACTGCAGCTTTGTCTGCTTTGGCTGCAACGGTACACAAATTCATTAGCAATGAAAAGTCCAAAATGCAGAAAGGTTACGTTATTATTTTGAAAAACTTGGAAGAAAATAGTGGAGTTTTCAGTGATTTCATGATTTGCACAAAAACGTTATTCGTTTAAACCAGCGTTTCGGTTGTGTTTTAACCATCGTTAGGGATGTTATTTATTTCACAGTTAAGCTAACTTCACTTTCTTTCTTCCTTAAATTATGTAACTGTGTCGTATTTGCTCTTACAGCCCTCAAGACCTCAATAGCTCGAAGGACGTTACCATTAGTGTCCCACACCTGATATCTTTTGAACTTGGCTTTACCATTGTGACGCAAAAATGAACGAAATTTTGGAACGAAAGGTGATGTTACGTTAAACTCACCAGACTTTAACTGGCGCACTTTGTCACCCTGACTGGCGATTTGTTCCAGTAAAGAATTTCCGTTCAACTTCTTGTCAGTTGGAGTTGTTGGTTCACTGTTTACAGAGGGCACAGGCTTTCCCGGCTTCCAAGTTTCTCCCGTAGCGTCCTTGTAATCGGCCTTGAGAGCCAACAACACCTGAAGAATTAAAAACATTTTACATACTAAACGCCTCTTGTATGTGGGTAGTAACCTTTACTGCTGCGTCGACTTCGGCTTTTTCGGCCTTTTTCACTTTAAGTTCTCGCACTTTATCGCCTTGACTGGCGATTTGTTCCAGTAAAGAACTGCCATTCAATTTGCCTCCAGATGGAGTTTGTGGTTCGGTTTTTACAGGGGCAGAGCCCACAAGCCCTGGCTTCCAGCTTTCTCCAGTTGCTGCTTTATACTCGCCCTTAAGATCCAACAAAGCCTAAAGTAAAAAGCAAAAATATTAATTCTTAACCCCTGCTGTGGTTGCTGCGAATTTTCCAAAAAAACATATACAGCTGTTCCTATAGCATACATTAATGTTTTTATAAAAATTGTAAAAAGTTGCCAGCATACCAAAAATAAATAACCTTTTTAAAGTACATATTTCAACACGCATCAGCGCTGTCTAGTAATTTTCCAAAATTCAATCTGCAATCTTTTAAAGCATCCAGAGGGGCAATTTTTCAAAAATTGTAAGATTTATTTCCGACCGAAAATATTCAGTGTTTCTGGATTGTCCCTTCACCGAAAATTTCTAATTTTCATCTGAGGACAACTTTAAAAACTCGTCATCGAGCTTTAAAATATACTTTTTATTATTTAAACAGACTTCGTAATAAATAAATCGTTGGGTAACCATTACCTTTACAGCAGCATCCGTCGCAGATTTCTCGGCTTTATTGTCTTTAAGCTCGCGCACTTTATCACCCTGCTCAGCTATTTTCTGCAGGATGGCACTCGATTCAGAGCCGGCAGCAACAGGAGTGGCTGCTAAAGTCCCAGCAACCCAATCTTTGCCCGTCGCTTGTTTAAACTCGGCTTTAAGAGCCAAGAGCAGTTTCACTTCGGCGTCTACAACAGCTTTATCTGCCTTCTCACTTTTCACTTTCCTCACCTGAAACAATCAAAAACGATAAACGCGAAGGTTTTGGATAAATCGGGTCGCAACAACCCGATTTAACTTGCAAATTTCACATTTAAAACCCACACGTTGCAAGACAAGGAAAGTTTGGTAAAAAAATGGTATTTTTCATGAGTTAAGATTGTTTTTTTATATTATCACTACCTTGTCAGCTTGAGCTTGTACTTTAGCGCCTAATTGTTCCTCAGAAGGTTGTGAGCTGGCAGCTGCCACACTGACTGGATTCCAATCGGCGCCAGTTATCTGGAAAATCTCCAATTAGCTTTGAAGCGTGCTAAGCTGAAGCTGTACCTTCTTAAAGTCAGCCTTGAGCGCAAGAAGTGCCTTGACAGTCGTATCAATTTCAGCCTTGTTGGCCTTTTGAGCCTTAAGGGCGCGCACAATATCGCCCTGCTTGGTTATCTTCTCATTCAGCTCTGCCAAAGGAGCTGCACTAGGTGACTTCTAAAGCCCAAAAGTACAATATTCGAATAATTTCAATAATGGGAAAAAATAGTCATCAGTACCGTTTTGGATTTGGGCGTTGCCCCTGCAATCGATGATTCTTTGGAGCTGCCATCAGGCACGTAAAACAGTACAACTGGCTGCTCACGGCAGCTGAATAGGGTGGCCGACTCATAAGCTCTGTCGACCTGAAAGCCTCAGCATTTCCACACTGATTGACCAACCATCGACTTACTGGTACCTTAAAGAAGCCCTTGCGCTGCAACTGGATGATGTCGCCCTTGTTCAGCTTGCGCAGCTCAGGATCGCCCAGAACCTCCACTTCTTTCCTCGTTTCGTGGTCAACAAATTGCTTGAAGTCCTCGTCCTTGCCGAGCAACGGCTTGCTGATGATATGATCGAAGTATACACAAAAGGTTTGCGAAAGTTTGGCCTTTGCAGTGTCAGCCAGCCAAGTTAATTTCGCAGTCTTTTTGTAGTCTTTATTGTCCAGATTCAGGTCAGCTTCAATTGAACTCACTTTGTTGTCGCCGTCTCTATTAATCTGTCCAACATACAGTGATAAATATTTAGTAATGTTCACATTTCCGACCCGAATACCATTAGCAGCTCAACAAATTGAGACGAAATAATACCTTCTTGATCAGCAAATTGCCCCAGTTAATGAAGGTGGCATTTTCTCCTTGCCTCAAACTTTCAGCATCCTCTCGATCGATAAGAACCTTCGGTCCAATCCAAACTTCCTTGTTGCCTATTTGAGCGTTTTTCGGATGTTTGGGCACCGTTACCAGTTCCTCTTTGGCCCCGTTCACCAAAACGGGAACCGGATCAGCTGCATCCACCGCCGTGTAACGTGGAGCAACTGGATCGATGATTTTCTTGTTAAACGCCCAAATTTTGTCCCATTCCATGAACACCACCGATCTGCTCGATCCCTGAGCGATGATAAACTCCTTCAGACCTTCCACGGTCATGCCTACAGACAAATCGAGCTAAAATTTAGTTTGCTGTTCGTAATATTACGCAACTGACCTCTTCTGAGCACTCCCCGTACTGTAGGCATGCGAGGATCGTCCCAGCCATCGACCAGGCCCTGTTCGACAAACCAGGTGAGCTTTCGCTTACTCAGAACGGTGTTGGTCATGGACAAGCGACTATATTCCCAAATGTAAGGCTTGCGCAGCCCCAGGGCTTCAATAAACCAGTAGAACTGCGCATCTCGATCATGATACTCCATAGTTCTAAGAGTGTGCGTTACGCCTTCGATTGCATCCACAATGGGGCAGGCAAAGTCATACGTGGGGTAAACTCTAAATGAAGTTAACATTAATCTCGTAAAAAATATGAAATTTCAGATGCAAAAAGACCAATTGTATTGTACTCATGTTTTACCCAGAGTTCATTAAGTTTCACGAATTCAGCAAGTCTATTGAAACAACGTTTCGAACAATTATCTTAATTTTTGCTGTTGTGACACCACCGATTCAATTTGTTATGTGATTTTCTAACAGTTTCATTAAACGAGTTTCAGCTTTGTTCTTTGTTATGTTTTCTACGCTTTGTTGTACAGAGAAAATAAATGAAGACTTTTTTCTTTCAAACTGAATGGGGAATCCAGAAGGGATTTTTATTCTATGAAATAGCAGTGGATCATATTTTGTTTCTTTAAAGTCATTCATTAACGTTATAGATAGGAGGTTACTGACAAAATAAAAAAATTCAATATGCACGTTGGCAGTTATTGCCTGCAAAATTTCGTTTAAATATCCACAGCCGATTGGCAGCAATTAATAACTTTGAATTATTTAAGATAAACTTAAACATCCTGTATTTCTTTAGCAAAGCGTTTTTTGAATATATTTGATAGTGCAAATTCATTTTGTTTTTCGATTTTATAGGGAAAACAAAAACTTCTCGACAGATTCCACTTAGCTGCAAAAGAAGTTATTTATGACCCGCCCTAACAGTTTTCTTATATCCATATTAAACAAGAAGCTATCCGAGGTAAAACAGCACATATTTCCTTACTTGTAGGTGGTTCCCGTCCTGGGATGTTCCTCATTCTTGCAGCGATAAATTGTTGGGTCCCTCATGCATCCATTGGCCGATTGCATGTCGATTTTCGCCCTCACGCAATATTTCTGGCCCACTTCGGATCCTTTCTTCATTTCTTCCCAGATTTTCAGGTTCTGCTCAACAGCTGCAAACACAACATTGCACACTTAAATCACCACTCAAAAGAATACCAGTCAGTATTTACATTTGTTCCGATTGGCCGACTCAACCTTCTGCTCGCGCTCCTGCTTCATCAGTTCCGGCTCAGTATCATCAACATAGGCTTTGCCCTCCTTGATCATTTTCTCGCAGTATTGCAACATCAGGTCAAAGTACTGGGAAGTATGGGTGAAAAGATCCGGTTTGATCTGGAGCATGGCAACGTCTTCTAATATCACTTTTTCAAAATGCGGATTCTCCTTGGCAGGATTGGTGTCATCAAAGCGCATGATTAGTTTGCCTTTGAACGTCTCCTGATAGTACTGGTTAAGTAAAGCGGCTTTTGCATGGCCTATGTGTAAATACCTAAACAAGAGAATTCAGCTGCAGAGTCAGAAATGTCTGTAAATATTTACCCGGAAGCTTCTGGGGGAAATCGCACGACAACTTCACCCATTTTAGCTCCAGGCAGTTCGATGAATTTGCCCTCGCGTGTTCGCCCAGTCGAGGTTAATTCTGAGGGGGATTGTTCAGCCGAAGCTTTGCTGCTCTTCAAATTGCGACTGAGGGCGGCTTTTTGCTCATCGCTAAGGCCGTTTAAAGTGAATGCGACCGAGCTTTGCGACTGGATAAAGTTGTACCATCGCTGCACATGAATGGGAATGGCTTTCTTCGATGCCAAGTCTTGGAATTGAGCATTGGCTAGGCAACATAAGAACATTTCTATGTATTATACATGCCTAAACGCCAGTCTATAATTGTGCAGATAAGAGGGACTGAGAAAACCGTAATTTATACAAACTTGGTTACATGGAAAAAAGTTGGGCAATTAAAAGACAACACACAACAGAGGCTTTAAAACAATTTGATTTAATTTCGGCTTCGAGTTGCAAACAGACTGCACGCGAAGTCAGAAAATAAAATTCATATCAAAGATCTGAAAGTGCCATTTTATTAGTCTTTGAATTGTCCAACTTTTTTCCCATGTAAACAACTTCGTATCATTTACGGTTTCCGATATCCCCATACTGGCTCTTCTTATCTTGGCCGCAGTGTATAAACAAATTAACGAACGATACCTAAATGTGCTAACGAGTAACATTTCTTTCAGCCAGTGCATTATTGCATTTCCCATTAAAACTGCAAACTGATATAAAACTGATTCACTCACCATATAAAGTGGCAAAAACAATAAAGTCAGCAATGCTGAGGCGTTTATTGGCCAGATAAGTGACATGGCTCAAGCACTTATCCAGCACCTGGATGGCATTGAAAACTTCGTACTTGGAATCCAAAGGCCCGATTGCAAAGGTCAGCCAGTGGTCAACTTCGGTAGTCTCCAAAGCACTGCTTCCATACAGCTGGGGCTGCGCCAATTTCGCCACAGCCCTGGCCACATCGTTGCTTGTTCTGCACACGAAGTTTTCGACAAAAGTGTCAGCACCCCAAGTGATTTCCACTGGGGTGTTGGCCGTGGATTTAACGTAGTTTGATACGAGTAGGCCCCCTGGAAGAAGACCGGAATCAGGCAACATACTGTGAAGACTCCTAAGTTAATTACATACCTAAAAAGGGGCTGTTGGTGTTTAACCCAATCCTCATTGGGAACAGTGGCTTTCTAGTAAAAATTGCTTAACAGAACGCCGGCACACGCACAAGAGCTCACGTCGAACTAAATAAGAAAACTATTTATAACAATCTAGGTTATGTGGAAAACTGCCAACCAACAGACGAAAAGCACATATTACAGAAGTTAGTTTGGGTGGTTAGTGATCTGTGTTGAAAATCCACCTGAAGTAAGTCACGCCATGAATCCAAACCACGCCCAGCTATTATTATGTACATTCTCTAATAAAAAAAAAACAAATATAATTAAATAGCAAACCAATCAATATAAATTTTCTTACCGTATATCAGTTGCAATTTTCTAGTAAGACTCATCTGAAACAATGAACAATATCTACACAGCACCAATGATCAAATTAATCGGAGGATAGATAACAAAACTGATCGATTAATTCTTATATTAAATGTTGCGTAACATATTACTTGTTCATAACGCCCTCAAAAGCAGTTTTTTCGCCTACTTAATTACTAAGTATGTACATCACAATTGCCTATAAAACTGAGCGTTTAGTAGGACCGAAATTTGAATATTTGACTCAGGTAAAAAAGGGCTTGCAATAAGTAACTAGGCTCGTTCGATTTAGTTGGATAGTTCCAGAACTCTCGAACAATATCGTCGAGTGTTCGCAGCAGAAGAACGGAAGATGTGCCTTGCTGTTTCGAGTTGTTCATTTGATAAACTTCTGGCGCTTTGGTCATCTTGCTCAGGTTGGGGTCGTCGTTGACCGGCGAATAGGGAGGAATTTTCGAATCAACCTCTTGCTGTTCATCCGCAGGGCTCTTTTTACGTCGCAGACCAAGTTTGGTAGCTAAAATCACGTTAGTGAAATTACATAGCAACACTCCTGCTAGCTACTTACATAATTCCTCTATTTGTGAATGTTGATCGCCAACTTTCCTCAACAATTCCCTAATCTGGGCTCGCTCTTCTTCAGCCTCAATATACAGCTCCCGAATGTCATTCTTCATATCAGTCAACTCCTGTATTCTTGCAGCCTCCTTTGCCGCTTCCTTTACAGAAGATCTAAAAGCCAAACATTCACTCATCCACAGCAAAGGACACCACTCCACACCAACCGATAGTACTCATTGATAAGCACTCCAGCTGCTATTATGAATATAATCGCTTCACCAAGTAGATTGGCCCCCAGTTCGATGGCCTGCGCTTCATTCAACACAGGTATATTAACAGGCTTTCCCAAGTTCAAAATCCACATTTTTGCCTTGATCTCGCACCAGTTATAAACTGAAACATTAACAAGTGCATCTAGATTCACTGGGAGTCGAATTAGTGGCCTTACATTGTGCAGGGGGCATGCAAACATATTTGCGAAACACAGGCGACGATTTGGCTTGGTTCTTAACAACCGTGGCAATCGGCTTGCTGACTTGCTTCAGTAAAAGAGCCCCCAGTTTTGCTACAGGAAACACTCCGACTACCATAACTATTCCGTTTTTTGCACCAATTAAATTTTATATTCAAAATAGTTTTTGGTAGAACTATCCATAACCCCAAATTGAGTGACAGTGACGTAAACATTATGGTTATGCAGAGACAAGTGGGAGACCACAGAACATCCCCCTGGGGGTGTCCTGTGGTGTGAGACCGTTTTTAATTTTGCAAAAAAACGCATTAAGCTTGTAGAAAAACAAGTCTCTATAATATGTGGTTCTATACAAGGGCGGATCCAGGGGGGGTCATGGGGGTGATTCTGGGTGAAAACTACTCGAATTTCCTCACTCACGTTGTTACGACCACAGAACATACCCAGGGGGGATATTTTGTGGTTACGACCATAGAGAAAGTAAAAAAAATTATTTTACTTACTCTATGGTTACGACTGAATCGAATTTTCAAGTTTTTGAATCGAAACGCCACATGTCATGCGGTGCGAAAGCCTTGTTCTATGGGTGAGATATAGCTGGCGTTTCGGTCGGAGCTGCTCTTAGACAAGGAAAGACTCTCTTTCCTTGTCTAAGGAGCTGCTAGTTGAGAAATGGCGTTCACAGGTTCTAACCTCACTCCACAGCACGCCATTTAACGATAGTTATTCCCATTTTTTTACCTCCTGATATATAAACACAAGAAAAATGTTTACGATAAAACTCGCCCAGAATCGCTTGGTGTTTATGGGCAGAATGAACTTCTTGCAGGTCTACCAGCCATACACTGGTAAAGGTACACCAATTCGACAACGCGAGATGTACAAGCATAAAGGTCGATTTAGTGCGAAAAGAACAATGAATTTTCAAAATTCTGCTGCGAGAAAGAGCGTTAACATCCGTCTGTACGCCATCAGGGCCAGCGTTAAGACTGACGATGCTCCAGACGTTCTAAACCGACTGTCCACTGAAATACAGGGCAGTTGCAAAGCTGATGCCATCATTAGACTTTCCTCGAGGTTTCACACCGGTCCAAAGGCGAAAACTGCTACAGAAACCTTAAGCCGACTGCCCACAAGGATACAAGCCAATCTGAGCAGCGCCATTACCTTTCAGTCCTTTTTGAGGCCGTCAGGGTTTGTGAATCAAGCGCGGCTTTTGGTTACGAAGTCTGACAGTCACCCAGACACTGGAGACCCAAATGGAACAGACCAAATTGAGCACGCCTCCAAGCCGTCTAATGGGAAAGTAAATATAATCGAAGTGGCGAACTCCACCCAAATTGAAAAAGTTGCTCAAAAGTTACCCAATCCGAAAAACGTCGTGCACAACTTCTTCAGCGTATTGGCCGACGAGATGAATGATCCAGCCATGAAAATGAGCCCAACCTACAAGGCGATGGCAGGAAAAGCTGGAAATGTTTCTTGGGCTTGTTGCTACCACATGAAATGGCCGGAAAACATCAAAGTTGTGGCTCGCGAAACCTCAAAGCATAAAGCCAGCGCCTTGGCGGCCAGAAAAGTGATCGATCTGCTGATGACAATGGGGAGACTGTCCGCGGATGGCACACCGATATTCTACAATAAAGAGGATGTGAAGGAGATACGCAAGCAAAAACAAACAGCCATCAACTTGGACAAGTCCTCAATCATCCACATGCAGAACATTATTAATATTTTCAACTCCGATATGAAGCAGATGGTGGAAACAGCCGAAGTACAACCAGCGGATGAATCCAGTGGGTTTCTTGCCGAGGACAAGCAATCAGCCAAGCTATTTATGGCTAGAGAACCGCATTTTTTGTCCGCTGGCCAGTACTTTGCTAAGGAAAAAGTCAGTTTACCAGTAACTAAGTTAAAGTATGAACACAATTTACGCGGTTCTTCAAGGGCTTACTTGGGGTTTTCTTTTTAGGGAAGAATTCATCGATCTGATTCAGCAAAACAACTGCATAATAGTGCAAGGAGAGCCGGGCTGCGGCAAATCAAGCAGAATCCCTCAATACGTGTTGGAGGCTTGGATTAAAGAGGAAACAGCTAGTGAAAGCTTTTGCCGCATTGCTGTTACGCAACCGCGACGAATTGCCGCTATTTCGTTGTCCGATAGAGTGGCTTCTGAGCGAGATGAAGAAGTAATTTTCCTTTGAAGACATTCTCTCAGTTGAAAGATGAGGACGAGTGTTAAATGTTTTTAAAAGGGTTCTTCAGTCTGGTTACGACCTCATAATCGTCGTCTTATTATATGCGATCGTGCGACGCAATCAAGCAGATAACAATATTCGAGGTAAAAAAAAGCAACAATCTCATGCGGGCAACTATTCTGACGCCGTAACCAGAACCAACAAGTCGTCTTTAAACCCAGCTTAATTCAGTTTTAAAATATGATACCTTCTGGTCGTTTCAGCTTGGTCACATTGTGGGGTACCAAGTGCGGCTCAAGTCCAGATTCGAGCCGCGAACCGGTCGCATCCTTTACTGCACGACTGGAATCCTTCTGAGGCATTTGCAGAACGATCAGAACCTGTCCCGGTTCAGCCACATCATCCTGGATGAGGCGCATGAACGGGACATCAACACCGATCTGCTCATGAGTTTGCTAAGAACGGCGTTGCACGAGAACCCCCGTCTGAAGTTGGTTGTGATGAGCGCCACTATTGATGCCAAAGCATTCTCGGGTAACTCATTTAACACTAAGCTTGACTGTTTCTCAATAAATGTCTGCTTCGTTCCAGAATATTTTGACGGCGCCCCAGTGTTCAGCATTCCCGGGTTTACATACCCGGTTAAAAGACACTATCTGGAGGACTTGGACGGGAACTATTCGAGGACGCTGAAAATGTGCCAGCAGGACAATCCGCAGGTGATCCATGAAGATGTTGTGCAGGTGTGTTTGGCTGTCTTCGGACTATTGAAATGGTCCCACGCTACTTCTGATTGTAGGTGATCGAACACATTCACTACAACAAGCCCGAAGGGGCCATCCTAGTGTTTCTCCCGGGCTGGGAGGATTTGTCGAAAATTCGTCGCCTGTTGAACCTCCCGCATGAGGCGGTGGTACATCTCGTTCACTCAAAACTCAAAGACTCCGAACAGTACAGCATTTTCTCAAAACCTCCGCCTGGCATCAGAAAGATCATTTTAGCCACCAACATTGCCGAAACCTCCATAACCATTGACGATGTGGTTTATGTGATAGACACTGGCTGCCACAAGGACATGATCTTTGATAACCACAAAGGCAAGTCATGCAATCCAGACTGATGCAGGCAATTTTTTCATAAAAAAATTAGGAATCAATGTCATTGATATGGCTTGGATCTCCAAGGCCAGCGCCAATCAGCGGGCAGGACGGGCTGGCCGATGCTCGCCTGGCGAAACCTTCCATTTGTACTCGGAAAAACGATACCATCAAATGCCCGATTATACTGCCCCGAAGATATTGAGTGAGTCGTGGAAAGTTTCTCTAAATTCCCGTCTTTCAAGTGGACAATTCCAGACTCTTCCCTCACCAAGGTGGTACTGGACTCGAAAGTATTCACCGACAACATGGGCGCGGCGCAGTTCATGGACAGCTTAATCACACCACCTGAAACTGCCGCTGTCAAAAGAGCGGTGGATGAGCTGAAGCAACTCGAGCTTTTGGACAAAAACGAAAAGCTGACGCCGTTGGGGCGAACCCTGGTTAATTTCCAGCTGGAGCCCTGCCTGGCCAAGGTGCTTTCGCCAAACGCAAATAATTGCCGCTAATTGATCGTTTGCAGGCAATGGTCAATAGTGTGATATTCAAGTGCGTTACTCCCATAGTGGACATCATTACGCTCTTTTCTTCGGGCACTGATCTCTTCGGGTCGCTGAGTCTAACCGATAAGGAGGCCGTGAAGAAGGTCAAGTCTCAGTACTGTCGCACCTCCGATCATCTGGCTTTGATGAGGATCTACGAAAAGTGGCTCGACCTGGTTGAAGAAGGCAATCCATGGGACGCCGAGCGGTTTTGCCGCTCGGCCAATCTGGTTCCTTTTAAGCTGGAATTAATCAACAGTCAGTTGTCAAACAGAAATCAGTCTGCCGCCGTTATTAAACGCCCTGATTCCAGAATTGCAAGACATCCATTTGGGCTATTTGAGATCGGGATTACGCCACTCAATGCCAATCGAGGATCGGTTTTCCGACAACGACGAGCTGGTCAAGGCGGTTTTATATTCGGGAACTGGCACAGTTCTGGAGCATCGTGATTGGGACTTGGTGAAAAATCGACTCAAAACCAACGTCAACGTCCTAGTCACCAGGTGAGTGATTGATTTAGCAACATTTCCCGAAAACTTCTGAATGTTTTTCAGGAATAATCACAAAGCGACGATCACTTCGGAGAGCGTCAACTACAAAAGGCGCCAGTTCCCGTCCAATTTCCTCGTTTACATCAACGAAACGCGGTCGAATGTTCGCAGAACCACCACCGTTCGCGAATGCAGCCTCATTCCTGCCATTTCAGTGCTGTTGTTTAACAATAATGACCTGGAGGTCATTCAGGTAATCAAAATCTTGGAATTCTCAATCGATTTGTTTTACTTAAATCTTCTAGCTGGAGTCCAGTGATGCACTCAGCGACAGTTCAGTCATTATTGGTATAAAAAATACCAAGTTGCAGTTCCTGTGCGATAGAGCGTGAGTGATCGAGAAGAGAAACACATCAGTTGCGTGATTACTTGAAAACATCCCGATTGTTTCAGGCATGCCAATATTTTGATTGATTGCAAACAAGCCATCGAGACTTCGTATCGCTATTTGGTGCATCAGTTAACGTGCGCAGGAATGGATATTCCCGAATTTCTGGAACATTGGGATTGTGTGCTGGATAATGTGGACGCACTTCTCAACAGGAATCAGATAGAGTAAGCTCAATTGTTATGTCGTTTCAGTGAGGCGTTCTGTTCCATGTAAATATTAAAAATCATATATTGAACTTAACTAGGACTAGGTTTTCACTGTAACAAACCAAGCAAAACCCTTGCACAAAAATTGTGCTGGATCCATTTACATTCGCTGCACTTGAATGTGAAACTTGCAGGAAGGCAAACTCTGCACTTCCGCAGTGACCAAACACTGGATGCTCAAATTGGCCAAACTGCCCCTGATAACCCCGCAAGTGAAAGCCACATACCTTGGGGCTGCTTCTAGGTACTGCTTGCCGCTGGACAGCCTGCTGAGGAAACGAAAGGCGTTGTCCTGCAGCACGTAGACGCCTTGATGGTTTGTCCGCAAGTTGTCGATCTGCTTCTTGTAAACCGCCAACCAGAAATCAGTGCAGATGAACTTCATGGTGTCCAACTCGTCCTTAAAACGGGGCATTTCTTTCGTCAACCGCTCGATTATCCGGTAGCCGGTTGAAAACCCAATGTATTCCAAACCGGACAGGTCTTCTTCCTGAAAAGGTGGCTGTCACCACGGAACATCCAACCCCATCAATTAGGTCGTACCTTTTTATCTTTTTCATCCCCATTTTGAAGGGTGTAGTTAATTATTTCTGAATGTAGCAAGTCGAGAAGGGTGTCTTCCATTAGTAGGCCCCACAGGTCGAATTGGGGGATAGAATATGTGACAGCTATCACACAAAGTAAACATCAACAAAGACACAGAACATCCCCTTAGGGGGGATATTTTGTGAACAAAGTTTTGCATTTGACAGACTGTATTAAAATCCGTGGTTGCCACGATATGTTGTTGCTAGGCGTGGTGCATCTTGCATGTGGATTTTATCAAGAAGTAAGCCAGTTATATTCAAAGAAACATAGAAAAAACTTGTTGATGCTAATGTACTTTATCTCTTGAATCGTAATGTACTATTTCTGCAAGGATACATTTTCAGCCAACGCTCTACTTTATTGCACAATTGGCAAGGCAAAGATTTGTTAAAAAATAATTAAATGTGACGAAGGCTAAATATGCTATATTTAATCACATTTAGCAGACAGGAAAAAATCACGACACGCAGTGACTTCCACTGACGTCACGCAAATCGACGCAAGATCCTACCTGTATTCATTGTATCATGATTCACTCCATAGATAAAGACGATTCACTCTGGTTATGTTCACAGGGGGATATTTTGTGGTTATGTTCTGTGCACAGATCACGGAGCAGACTTGCCTTCATCTATGAGAGTAGAGTACCCATCAGTCTTTATCTATGGAGTAACCTCTGTGATCTGTGGTTCTGTGGATCTATGACTGTGATCAGCTGTGATTGATTTTAAGTCGTGTTCGATGAATTAATTTAAAAAATTCAAAAGATGAATTGTGCGCGAATTTCTAACGTTTTACTCAGAAGTGTTAGCTTAGCAGCAAGCCATTCGTTTCGAGGAGTATACCTTAATATTCCTGAACTGATCCCCATTAGATCTCACTATACCAAAGTAACACAAACTCCGGTGCCTCTGGCTAAAGTAGAAGCAAAACTTCGGCTGGAATACACTTGCAAAGTGTGCGGATCCAGAAATCAACACAATATTTCGAAAGTGTCGTACAGTCACGGCGTGGTAATAGTGAAATGTTCTGGCTGCCAAAACAACCACTTAATCGCCGACAATTTGAAATGGTTCACCGATTTGAATGGAAAGCGGAATATTGAGGAAATTCTAGCCGAAAAGGGGGAATTGGTCAAGAAAAATGATGTGGAGCTGATTGGTTGAGTTTGACTGGAGATGAGGAGAAAATAGCTTTGCAAGCCACTGGTGAAACTGAAATGAGGCCTAAATAAATATGGTGAAACGTTAACAATTTTTGAAAGTAGGCCTTTATCATCAACCCAATTCCCTATTTTGCAAAATAATATCTGAAGAAAATGGCATTTCTCGATGGAAGTAAGTGATGGGGTTGTAAATTTATTAAAACAACAGCATACATAGTGTAAATTGATAAAAATACTGGAGTTGAATATAACAAACAGTCGATTATCGTTGCCCTGCCGCTCTTAATTCCATCAAAGCGCTTTGGGTGATAATCCCGTGCGATCTGTTGAAACTGTTGAACGATTGATACAGTGTGGGCTTAGGAGGGGTGATGCGTCTTTTCGGAGCCTCCGTTTTGGATTTCATGTGCATCCGACAATCTCCGTCGCCCTTCAGAATGTTGACCTTCTCCAAACCACCGTACTTAGTCGGGACTTTTGAGTCCGATTTATTTAGTTGGGCGCTTTTCACCCAGCTGGGGTTCTTTTGGTGAATCTTCGACTCCGACTGAGACATCACTTGGTTGTTGTTTTTGAGATTCACATGAGATCGGATATACTTTTCCGTATTCTTTGACACTCTCGAATACACTTCCGGCACGAACAGTTTTTGTTTGGCAGCTGAGGGCTTGGTGCAGTGCCTGTAGGGCTGGGACGACATCAGGTCATACAGGGTGTTCCGGTAATCATCCACCGAAAGGCGAATGTCATCGTTTAGAGGGATCGCAACGTGCGAGGGCATGCTGGTTTCTTGGTTCAGATCGTGAAAGTTTGCCACATAGTCATGGCTTAAAGCTTCGGCCGCTTTAAGTCTTTTGTGCGGGTTGAAAACAAGCAGTTCTTCTATAAGGGCGATGGCATCGGTAGGCGCTGCGCCCCCTATGATCGACTGGATGGGCAGCTTCGCTGCGGAGGAGGCATTTTTGATCATTGACGATCCCACGCCGGATATGCACACCTGGTTGATGTCTGAAAGGTAATCAGATTATTGTTGGGTGGTTTAGAAGAGCTGGAAACATGTGGGGGTTTGATAGAGGAGAGTGTGCTCTATAGACTTCGCGGGTTTTACTTTCATACCCTTTTCTTTATGAGAATAGAGATTTTCTGACAAAATGTATATAGGAGAATGTGGTCTATACAATACTGAACGCGTTTAACCTGCTACCCAGGCCAGAGAAATCTTACCTTCGATTGTTGGTGTTGGTATTGTGGCCATAATTCTCTCCACTTGATTAACAGTGGAACTGCCCGGGAAAAGCGGTTTTCCTATGCACATTTCCGCTAAGATACACCCTAAGCTCCACATGTCAATGCCCTTGGTATATCTAAAGGGGCAATTGAGAGAGTGTTTAACCAAAGTCGGATCCAGGGGGGGGGTCATGGGG